GTGCGTCATCCACCAATTACCATCCTGATCGCCGGTGTCCCGTGCGTCGTCCACCAATTACCATCCTGATCGCCGGTGCCCCGTGTGTCGTCCGCCAATAACCACACGGATCGTCGGTGTCCCGCGTGTCATCCGCCAATAACCAAGTGGCAACCGCAACAGCAATCACCGCCCCGAAACATGCCGCGCATGATGGAATGCCGCCCCAACTTTCTCAACCTCCAGCCGGGCGACCGGGACACAAACGAGACACAAAACGTTCACACTCAGCCTGCCGCAAACAGCACAGGCCACGTGACTCAGTACATCCCAAGCCGCCAGCAAACAAACAATGCCGTTTTCCGGCACGCGGGGGCGCGCGTCGGCGTGCGGCCGTCCGGCGGCGGCGCGCCACCGCCGCTGAGCCGCGCGCGCCGCCTCACCTGCGGCGAGTTGGCCTCGGTCGAGATCGACGGCTGGCCCTCGAACACGATCACGCGGTCGGCCAGGTACGTCGCCATGATGAAGTCGTGCTCCACCACGAAGCCAGTCTTCTTGGCGTGCAGGATGAACCTGCCGACGCGCCGTCCACGCGGTGAGCGACGCCTTAGACGACTTAGACCTTAGACGACGACTTAGACTATCAAACGAACCCGCGTCACCAAAAGCCTGCCTGGTCGGTTGCATTGAAAGCTTTGCAAAAACGACGCAGTCATCTGCGGCCCTGAACAGCTGAACAAACTCACTATAAATAAATAGCCAACAGCAAACACAGGTGGCAAACATGCTTCAGTGCGGGCCTGCCGAAGCAGCTGAGCCAACACCGAGCTACCTGTCGGTTACACGCCACCAATCTCAAGCCACCGGGGTGCAGCCGCGGCAGGCCAGCAGGCTCCTCAGCGATGACCTTCTGATGACCCCGAGGGCGACAAACGCTGCTCTGACTCAAAGCGTGCGGACGAGTGTCACACATTTGGGAATCTCAACAGCCTTGACTGAACCACTCACACGTCGCCGGCCGCTGTAGACCAACATTTCGGCGCTCTCTGTCGCAACGGGCGCCGCCGCGACCCCCCCCCCCCCCCCCCCCCCCCCCCCCCCCCCCCCCCCACTGACCTCTGATGACCTTGGCAGCGACCAGTCGCTGCTCGGAGTCGAGAGGTAGGCCGACGGTCGTCGATCAGGTACACGTCCGCCGGCTTGCCCAGGCAGAGCGTGATGGCCACCCGCTGCAGCTCACCACCGGACAGGTTCGGCACCTCTTGGTCGATGATGTCGTCGATCTTGAGCGGCTTCATGACGTCCGTCACGAACTGGCGGTGGCGGAGGGCGCGGGCGGTCAGGTGCGGGCGTGCCGAGCGCGCGGGCGGCACCGGGGGACGAGCGGCATCCGGCGCCACACCAGACGCGCGCTATCCCCGCAGCGCGCCGCAAGCCGCGCACCTCGGTCGGGGCTGGTACGGCACCAGACCGGCACTAGCAGAAATAGCCTTTAAGCAAGTAACGCCTCGACAGAGCTTCGGTTTACGGCTCATTTGCAAACTGTACCAACATCAACACAGACCAGAGAACACCGGACCCGGTTCGGAGGCGGCTGCGATCGCGGCAGCGGCCGCCTCGGCGGCTGGCAGAGGGCAGCCGACGTTCGAGTATGTTACCTGGGGGGGATGTAGGCGTCGCGGATCTTCTCGTGCAGCAGCTGACGCACGGTGCCGGTCGACTTGGGCGAGATCTTCTGCGCTTGTAGCTGATGTTCATCTGAGGCACGTCCTCTGAAAACGCGTGCGGCGGGGTGTCGGAGTTGGCGCTCGGTGAGTATCATGCGGGGGGGACTCCGGCAATCGGACGCAGAGCCGCTGCCTTTATATCGACGCGGAAGATGCGTAAGTAAGCACCGCTTTTGTCTTGAACTAACAACGCGTAGGACAATGAAAATGAAACCTTATCAGTGCGAACCATCCATTCCATACTGGAAGCCTCCAAAAAACGCTCGACACAGCAGCCAAATGGCCATCCTACCACTGCAGTAAAGAGGGAGCTGCGTTATCGGCTCCGAGCACAGCCCTTTCCTTTATCACTAAACCTACCACCCAAAAATCCCACTCTCGTCTTTCGCCCATCCAAGGCAGCCCGTCACACCTCTCTTCCTTCCTAGCAGAGATTCTCCTCCCTGACCACACCTCTCTTCCTCCATGACGGGCCTTTCCTCCCCTCGACAGACCTCTTCCTCCCCGACGTAGGCCTCTCTTCCTCCCGACGTAGGCCTCTCTTCGTCCCCGACGGAGGCCTCTCCTCCTCCTGTCAGATCTTCCTTTTCTCTGGCAAACATTCTCCCCTTCCCTACGTACCGGCGCCCTCGTCCGGCGCGAGTCTGCCGGCCATCATGCGGATGAGGTGGTCTTGCCGGTGCCGTTCCGCGAGCATGACCAGGATCTCGGAGTCGGTGAAGTCACCGGCGTGCACTGTCAGCTCGAACTCGCCCATCTTCTCTTCATGTCGGGGTACGTGTAGCGGGCCATCCGCTTCACCTGAGAGCGGTGCCGGCAGCTTGGTCAGGCGGGCCGCCAGGACAGCGGCCGGCTGCCGCAAGGGCCGCACCTCGACGCCAGTCGACGGCCTTCGTGGGGGGGACACGTTTGTATCACACTGCGCCGCGCACACTTCGATTTCACTATCGGAATATATCACTAATCCACTAGAGTCGGAGTAGCATGGACGCGCCCTTGTCACCATGATGACCTGTGAGCCGACGAGAGGCACGGCAGCGAGACGGACGGGCTGCGCCGCCAGACCTCGAAACGCCCACCGGTCACAGGGCTGAGCCCGGTGGGCGGCGGCCCGTCCCACCGCCACCGCGAGCTTACCTCCTCCTCCATGGCCGACTCGGACACCTTGAAGACGAGCGAGACGTCGCGGAAGCGCAGGTTCTCCGTCGGCACGTAGCCGTCCAGGAAGATGTTGATGCCTGCCGGGCAGAGGCAGCGGCGTCAGCTGTCAGCGCCACGCGTCAGAAGCCGGCGGCCAGTACGTCGCGTCTCATGTGTTACGCAACGATTTCAGTCAAATAGGAGATAGTATAGACTCTGTATGACTCTTGCAGCCGACCCCCCCCCCGCCCTATTCCCCCGGATATCATAGTAAAACAGACGTATACGGTAGGACAATGGCATGCATTTAGGGGCGAAACCTGAGTATTATCAGGTTTACAGCAGTATTTTTCGCGACAACGCAGGTCTCGGTTTCTTCCGCATTTACTGTACACTGAACTAGCTCGGTTGACTCCCTCTCAGGTCGGCCTCCGCCAGCGACGCAGGGCCAATACCGACCCGAACACTACCCGTGCAACATAAACGCCGGTGCGCGCCGGCTAGTTCCCGGTCCGGCGACGCACGGCTAGCCGCTGTTCAGAGAACGGCTGAAGGCGAGGTCCGATCGCACGCGCTACCGGCTCCCCGGAGCTGACTCGGCGGGCCGGCCAGTGACCCACCTTCCCGCACGGAGAAGGGCATGGTGACGACGCCGTAGACGCCCGGTCTGCCGTACAGGCAGCAGATGAAGTCGGAGAGGTAGTCGAGCACCGACAGGTCGTGCTCCACCACTATCACGTACCTGGCCGAGGTCACACGCAGCACGCGGCTTTAGACACCGGTCGCCGAGCTCCCAAACAAAATGGTTTCTCTTCAATCCCCACAAGTTGGCTGCTGTGCGATATGCGGAGCAGTCGCTCGCATAGCTGAGGGCTGGGTCACTTCACTGTCCCACAGCATTGGTGTGTGACCAATCAAAGAGCATCGTGACAGCGACGCCAACCGCTTTGTGTGCAGTGGCCAGTCGCCAAAACAAAAGGCGGACCAATACGCAGCGCTCCGAAGGCGGACACCCGACAGTCGTCGGCCAGAATTACGGAAGACACCAATGCCAGCGCTCACTTTTTCTCCGACACCAGGTTTCGGATGGTGATGGCGCACCGCAGACGCTGCTTGACGTCCAGGTAGGAGGAGGGCTCGTCGAACATGAAGATGTCCGCCTTCTGTATGCAGACCATGGCGCAGGCGAACCGCTGCAGCTCACCGCCCGACAGGTTCTCCACGTTGCGATTCCGCACGTTGTTCAAGTCTGCCGGCGGTGAGTGGTGAGTGGCGGCGCGCATGCGACTGTTACGTGCGGTCTAAGGCGAAAAAGCTAACATTAAGGTCGGCACTATAGCGTCTGGTCCGTTAAACCGCGTGGGAGTGGGAGCAGAAGCAGCGGGAGTTTCGGAGCGAGAGGGGAGTCCAAGATAATAGTAAGACAGCAAGCCTTCAGATCAGTCAAGTGCACCGAAGATACTACAGAAACCTCTCCATGTTTTTCCACACCCATGCCCCACCTCCCAGGGACAAAGATAATTAAACTTTCAATGCAAAAACCACGCAGGGCTTTCTTCAGCAGAGTCTTATCAAATACCTCTTAACGACAATCACACGCTACACGTCGACCCGTATAAGGTCAGCTCAGCAATGCCCTTTCTCACCAAGTGCCTCGCAGATTTCCGTTTGGTTGCCCATCTCGTCCTTCTTGTCTAGGAGCTGTTGGACAGAGCCGCGCACCGCCTTGGGAATCTGGTCCACATACTGCGGCTTGATGATGGCCTTGAGGTCGTCCTCCAGGATCTTGGTAAAGTAGTTCTGCAGCTCCGAGCCGCGGAAGTACGTCAGGATGTCCGTCCAGTCCGGCGGATCCTGCGGACGGGCCCAGCATGAGACAACCGAGGCAAGCAGTCTCGCAGTGCGGCAATGATTATACGGTGATGGAATTACAACAGACGTTCCGACCGATAAAAAACAACCCCATCGACAAACAAACGATGAACAACGACGCACATAGCCAATGCCTACAAAACCTTCGCTCTATAATATAAATAAGCCGGTGTTTGTCGAGCCTGCACAAACTGACAGCGCTCATGTCAGGGGAGACGGTCAGCGGCCCGCAGCGGCAGACTGGCGCCCACCCGGCCCGCCGCGGCGGGTCGCTCACACCGCCCCGGTGCTGCCCACTCACATTGAACCTGCCCAGGTTGGGCTTCTGTTTTCCGGCGAGGATCTTGAGCGCGGTGGACTTGCCGATACCGTTGGTGCCGACCAGGCCCAGCACCTCGCCCGGCCGCGGGATCGGCAGCCGGTGCAGCTTGAACGAGTTCTGCGAGTAACGGTGCGTCGTCTCCTTGTCCAGGTTGCTGGGCAGGTTCAGGATGTTGATGGCGTCGAACGGACATTTCTGAAAGGCGGGCGCGGATGGTGAACGACAGAAGCTGGGCGGCGGCACGTACCTGACCGACATTTGACGTCCGTTTAGGGTATCTAGCAGTGAATCAGTGTGCCCATCTAGGGCCTAGCAACAGCACCCAGGTTACCTGATCAAACACAGCTGAGACACTATGCAAAGCACATTTTTCTACTGAATGGTGTGTTTCCCACCTTTTGGCAATGCCAATGTACACGCAGTAGCATGCATTACAAAACACATAGAATCCCACCTCCAACAGAATGTAGCAAAACACGAGATCAGTGCATCAACACTAACAACAAAGCAGAAGTGAATGACAGCAGTGGGACGCACGTGAACGCCTCTCACCCACCTTAATGCAGATGCCGCAGCCAATGCACAGCTCCTCAGAGATGATGGCGATCTTGTCGTTGGGCGTCACCTCTATGCACAGCTTGCCCATGCGCACCACTGGGCAGGAGCGCTTGCACTCCTGCCGACACCGCTTGGGCTTGCATCTGTCGGCGTTGACGACGGCGATACGGGTGAGCTTGCTGCCCTCGTCCTCGCCGCGTCGCTTGGACATGACTGCCGTGGGTCACCCTGCCGGGCGGGGCACGCGGCCGGTTACTCGCGGAAACAGTGACCTCTAGTGCCGAGTTATGTCTATAGACACAGCTGAGGGTTACTCCGGAAACGGCGACCACAGATGTCTACAGTGTCTACTATGTCCACAGACACAGGAGAGACGCAGGAGAGGAGTTCCCCGCACGTTGACTTTTGAGGCCACTTGATGCCAAGTGAACTACGCACATGACTGACTGCCCAACCGACCCTATGTTTCTGTGACTTAACAGGAGGTGGAGATGAATGGTCCTATCACAGGTCTTGTATGAATAATCCCCCTCCATTTATGATTTTCAAACTACTACAAAAACAAGATCCCAAAATTCATTGAAAATCCATCTGCAATCATATCTCCATACATGCCCATGTAATCTGATGAAGCAAACTAAAATAATGTTGATTATTTTGTCATCTTTGTTGAACCAAGCCATTGTTCAACATTCCAAAGTGTTTTTTTATTTCAACATTCTAGCATCTTAGAATGACATACAAAATTGTATGATTCATAGTTTGAATGCCTCCCCCCCCAGAAATTAATACTAATACTAAACTGATATAAATCTGATAGCCTTTATCCAATTAAAAATAAAAACACATACAAATGTAGTATTGGCCACTCCTATTGTTTTCCTAATCCACCACTCACATATTAATGTAAAACATGTTCTTAGTCGCCATACACCATCAAAACCCAAGCCCACTAGATCACCTGTACAGCTGCATGCTGAGAAAGTAAAGCAGGACAATATAACAAACTATTGGTCAAAATTGTTTCCTCTTTCATTTTGAGTGATTCGGGTGAGCTTGGTACTGCCAAATATCATGCATGAGGTGGTTTTTCAGGTAATGCATGTATGATGATAATGATAACCATGACCCATAAACATAGATCATTCCCACACCTTTCTTTAAACCTTGATTACCAACATGGCTCATTCAATGATACGGTTTGAGGACTGCATACCATCAACCTGTTATTTACATCACCCCAGTTCTTGTTTACCTATTGGCATGCTAATATTTCTAATGTTAAAGACATTTTATTATCCTAAATAGCATTTAGGTTATACAGTAACATAAAACCTATCATCCAGCTCAATTTCACAATTTACTGTGAACCTGGACTGCAATCCACACATTGTGCCAAAACCTATCAAGCATTCTGCCAAGTCTCAGAACAATAATTTTTCAGTATGCGCATTATATGTTTGACAGTCTGAGCTTCGGACATAACCTCCATCAATTTCAGTACATAGAAAGTCAATGTTGCAAAGAGTCATGACATTGTCAGGTAAATCAGAGGAAAATAACCCCAAACCTTCTTTCAGCAAGCATCTTTAAAAAAGCATTATTGCCAGGCCAGCATTTGATGCAAATCTGCCCAAGATTCAGCACATTGATAGCTGTCAAGTGGTCAGTGCAGAGGATGGTTTTATGAAGACTGGCTCTGAGCCTCATGATGGACATTACACTTGCAGTAATCGTGTAGGACTTTCCATTCATACAGCACATTTTTGTGTCTCTTTTAAATCTTACATATCAATACCACCAAACAAAACGCCACTCCATCTAATAGCCCAAATTCAGCCACGTTAGCGAAAGGACAGAAATATACGCACAATCTAACATACGCAACGGATCAGCATATGGCCAAAACAAAAGCATGTTCCAACCTACTCTGACGATCTGATGCATTTAAGGATAAGAGCACCGATTGGTTCTTCAATGCAGCTACGTCTTACTGATACACAAACATGGAAAACGACAAACAAATGCAAAATATTCCGCGACTAAGGAGAAAGTACCTTTCGACGAAGGGTGAGGGCAGAAAGAGAACACCCAACCGGCATCAGGAGACACCCGTGAGCAAACCAAATACTTATAAGGGAAATATATGATGTCATTTACAATTGTTCCTGCGCTATGATTCGTTAAACATTTTTTTATGACGTCATAAAATACAGTTTTGTCCTTCGTGGCTTGAAACATGGAGGCGTGGATGGTTGGAGGTCGGGCGATGTGCGCTGTTTTTGTAGCAGTTTTTGATGACTTCTCTATGTTTGTTTGGGCAGAAAGAAATATGTTAAAAATTTTAAATTTACCTTAAAAACTACTTCTTTCTTTTTATAGCTGCCATTTCTCACAAAATATCATATTTTTGCCCAAAAGTAGATATACCAATGGTTCTAGATTAATGTTTACCATAAGAAGCGGCCAAACCTGCGCAATAAATACAGTGGTTGGGCGTAAACAAAACCAAAACTAATGAAAACAGCATTCCTTCCTCAGTTATCACGCTGTACAGCTGACGGGGTCAAGGTGGGTGGCGCGGTTGTTCTTTTGAGCACTGGAAAGGAAACCAAGACGGCTTACAATGTATATGCCATGACATATATGTCAGGCAGAGTATGACGATGCAAATTTTATAAAACAGTGCCCAGTTAAAGGCAGTAACTCGGGTAACCTACAAAATGTTTGACTACCGGAATTCTACGCGGTTTTGGAGGGCTTTTTGTAAACCTGCTGGTCATTTATATCCCACAGAAGCTTTAATAGGCCAGTGTGCTGTCTGATGGAATGGCCAGGATGGCTAGATATGTGTATTTGACCTCTTTTCTGATTGCATGTGTATGACATGCTATGGCTGTCCAGATACTGCATTTCCAATGGCTGACTCAGACTGGGACAGTGAGCCAGAACAGGAGCAAGCGCAATATTCAGCTCCATTAAAGAAGCCAAATGGTTAGTAATCCATTATTTGTTTTTAGAGCCCTGCTTTTATACATTTGCTTTTTTGCACATGTATTCTGCTACAGTATATTTGTGCCTTGGGGCCTATGGGTGTTGTGCAATGATTGCAGAATTACCAGAAAATTTGTAGCATTATCAAGGGTTATTTAACAAAATGTGTCAACATGACATTGCCTCAGGGTGACCTCTAATTCACCTCAGTCCAGGGAAAAGGGAGCAGAGGAAATTTACAAAATTATAAAAGTTTGCCATCCCATCCAGCCTGCTTTGTTCCTAGTCAAAGCCCCATTTATGCCATACAACAGTGACTCTGTGCTTGCTTACAACCTGCCCTGCCCTGTTCCAGGCCCGCACCAACCAGGAAAGAGGAGGGGGAATCACCAGTCAAGGGATGTGTCCCGGGCATCAGTCCAGGAGCCGGTGGGGGTACCACCAGTGGGGGATGGTCTGGCACCCAGTGCCTCCCCAAGGGGCGGTCCACAGCGCCAGCCCCAGCCCAAACAACGCCAGGCTGAGTCCAGACAGAGGCCAGTGAAGGCTGACCCTGAAACGGAGCCACCATTCAACTTCAGGTGGGTGTTGGCAATGGAGGCACTGGTGTGTGGCCAGACAGGGGTTTGCTCTGGGATGACATTCCATATAGCAGTCAGGCATATCTAGATATGACATGTTGAGCTTTTGAGTATTTCTTTGAGTATGCACCTGCAGCATTTTATTCAAAGTGATGTTTAAAATTATTGTTAATTTTTGAAGTCCTGGACTGCACTCACTCATTTGCATTTTCTATGAGACTGGTATCCTCCTGACGGTACTGAGTTGACCACTGGTCTGCGTGTCCGACCGAGATTGACCTAGTATCCCACAAGTTGAGTGTGAGCTGACCTGGTCAAGGCTTGCTTGCCAGACCAGAGACGGACGACGGAGGGGCGAGGGTGGCGCGGCCGAAGCCCCGGCCACCGGGCCGGCAACAGCGGTCCGAGTATACTGTCTCCTCCGACCACGCCGACCACCAGTCATCAGCCGCCGACGCCGGTGAGTTCACAGCGGGGATCTCAGTCAGTCGCGCCGACGCAGCGGCCTGGGCCGCGCGTCAGCTGAGAACGCAAGCCTGGGCAGTGCGCGTCTGCCAGCCGACTTGTTTGGCTGCTGGGAGGAGGCACGTCAAGCACGCCTGCGTCGCTTTCGCTGTCGCCTCATGTTAAGTTCACGTACAGCTCCTGAGGTAGTCCTCAAGACCTGCCCCCACTCCTGGGTTAATTTGAACCGATCCGCTCAGCAGCCGCGCTCCCCAGTCCTGACGCGGGGGCTGTGTCAAACTTTGTGTGAACCCCGGCGCCGTCCCCCTCCCCTCTGACCAGCCGTCGTCCTCAGGACGTGACCCTGACCCGGGGGCTGTGTCGGACCTCTCCCCCGGCGCCCGGCCCCGCTCCGCCCAGCCGCTGCCCCTGCTTCACACCGAGCAGGGCGGCCCCGTCCGATACGCCGCCAGCCAGGGTGAGCGGCGGCCACACCGGTCCTATAGCCTGTATCAACTGTGGTGTCTGACCCGCGCGCGGCTGGCGTGACTGCGGGATGCGGAGGTTTGCAGTGTCCTGTGCCATGCTGCGTGTTGTGCCGCGTTTCAGCGATGTGGATAACTCGCATGACGCGTATCGCCGTGCGATGTGGAGTCGTGGTACATGAGTCGCAGTAAGTATGGTGATCTGCGGCGGACGTAAGCGTCGACCGTATTGAAGTCATGCCGAGCAGCTGTGTATGTGTGCGTCCACTTGGGTGGGATGGGAGGGATATTTTTCTTGCTTGCCTTTTAGAATGTTCATGAAAATATTAAGGTGTCGAGGATGTTTACGAGATGTCGCTTTGACCCTTTTAATTGCGATCTGTCTCCTCCTCCACCCCACAATTTTAGAGACGTGGCCACACCCATGCAGCTGGCTGCTTCCATGACATGTCAGTGTTTTTCAGACAATTTTTGGCGAGGCTACAGACCTACCCGCGATCTGCCGCCCTCTCCGTCCCACCTTCATCCGCCCGTCCTCTCCGGCCTGTCCCGTGCGTATCGCCGTCCGCCGGCGTGCCGGTACCGTGTCTGTTCGCTGACGGCGGCTTGCGTGGCGCTCATCGTTGAACTAGCGCGACAAACGTGGCCAGTGACTGCCATTTGTGGGCTTAGAGCAATAGGTTGCCAGCCTTTTAAAGCAACGGGCGTGTTTGGACCGCAAATATAACTTATCGCCGCCGTCAGCTGTTTTGGGTCCGTGCGCGCTCATCACTGACCGGGCACGATGATGCCCATTTACGCATGCTGCCACGTGTGCTGTACATGTTTTGACGCCGCAGATATGGGTCTGAAGCCCATCAACTCAGCGGGCTCCATCCGGCGCGGCTCGTCCAGCCTCCGCCCCGCGACGCCGCTGGTCGAGGAACCGTTGTCAGAGTGTGGAGCACTGACGGTCACCGCCACCAGCTACCATTTCTCGAAGGGGGACTCCAGGTGCGCCCTGATGCTGCTGGGGCGGCGGCTTGTAAGCCGAGTTTTGCCACTGCATTTCAACCACCGGGCTTCAAATCTAGGATCTACTTTGATCACGGGAGCTTCTAACATCGGTTATTTTCTGGTATTGCTACTTGAAACCTGAGCTCCGTCCCCCATATCTGAGCAAAAAGCATCAGTTCTGTCATCATCGGTCTTGATTCAAGCTTGCACTCAGCCGCCATTGATCATGATCATGCCATCGCTCCGATCTACCCCACGTCCGCGTGCCTCAGCTGTTCCCCGAGCGATGTTGCACCGTCCCTCTCGCGTGTCCAAGTGTCAGCAGCGTTGGCCGCTATCTTCCGCGCAGGACGCTGAGCCTCGGTGACCAGAACCCGTCCCGTCTGCTGAAGCTGTACGGTCGGCCTTCGCACCAGCAGCTGATGCGCATGTGGGCCGAGCTGTTCTACGTGGTCTCGGTCCCCGTCCTGCTGGTCACCACTTTCCTCTACTCACTGCTCAGGTCAGGGCACGGCTGGCGGGGGGGGGGGGGGCAACGCGGCGCGGCGCCGTGTTGCGGTCCCCATTGGAATCCCGTTGTGTTTAGTGCTGCTATGAAAAAGAGATACGACCTTATGCCCCCGCCGCACAGAAGTGCCTGAACCAGGTACAGTTGTTAGTACTTCAGCGCGGTCCCTCCGCCGCTCTCCACGTGGTGGCACGCTCCGTGTCCGTGCGGACAGGTTTGTTCTGGAGGCGGTGGTGCGGCCGGTCGCCGTCGGACCCGTCCAGCTGCTGGGAGACCACCTGCTGAAGCCGGCCGTCGTGGCGCTGCACGACTCCCTCCTGCTGCCGGCCGCCACCCTGCTGGCCAACCTGGCCGCCGCGCTGGTGCTGGTGGTGCGGCCGCTGGCCCAGCTGCTGGAGGAGCTAGTGCGTCCGCTGGCCGCGCTGCTGGGCTCTGTCCGGCTGGTGCAGGTCAGCTACGGACAGCCGCCGCCGGCAGGCCACACTCAGCTAGTCTGAGACGGGCGCGGAGCGAAGCGGGGACAGTAGGGAGGTTGGCTTACGCCAGCAGAGAGTGGAGCGCCACGCGAGAATGTTTCAGGACCCAGGAAAACATCAGGATGATGTTTTCAAAGCATGCCAGGTTAACCTGTCTTTCCTCCGATGCAACGCTGTGTAGTCTTCATGACTTGACTCAACGCAGCACAACCCGACAGGACGGGACGTTGTGGACGCAGAGTCATCTAGCGGACTCAAGGCTTATCAGAGGTGCGCCAACTGTCCGTGACCGACGCGATGACTCGCGTCGTTTAGCGCCGGCGATTAATGACCACGCCGAGACGCACCATGTGGTCCGAGTAATCGCAAATCACTGTGGTCCGAGTAATCGCAAGTCACTCGTAATGCGCCTTGATATTATCAGATTTGGGTCAACTACATGGGTTGCGAGGATCCTTGTGAAATGCCTGATGTTGTGTAAGCGTGGACGATGCTTTGCATAAGAATGACCGGAAATCAAATATGGTGTTGTGCGCGCAGCACCGGGTGCCCGAGCGGTCCCTGCTTGCAAACCACAGTGCGTATGGAGTCCAGCATGCCTGCCAGGACGGTTTCGTGGACGCGGAGCCCAGGGAATGTAACACGAGGCGAGCGCGCGCGTTACCGTCCGTGGCTTTAAAGGACGGCTGCTACTGATACCATGAGTGATTGGTCTGGGCATCGCGTTGTCCCCACGCGTCCGGCCCACTGGCGACTCGGAGTGATGCACTTGTATTCAGTGTGAAGTTTTGGGCTCCGTCGGTGCCGAGGCTATATGTTGGACCGGTCGTGCCGCGTGATTTTGCTCTTCGTTACAGTGATGCCAATGAGAAGTGCCCTTGATGTTGTGCCTCACAACTCGTCTCAGATGTACTTTCCGGTACATTAATTCTAAGATTTCAGTGTAATGTCCGCGACATAGCCAGGCGCCATCCTGGCTACGTCGTACAGGCTTTAAGAGCGATCTCAAAAACTCTAGTCACTAACGCTTGGAAGTGGATGAACGGAAACTGGTGTTATTCGTCAGCAACGCTTTCAAAATGTGTGAAATTACATGCTAGTCAGTGCTCACCAATGCTGTCGAGCGGTGTGAGCCGCGATCTCCAATGTAACGAATCCGTCCGCCTACCGTCCACCCGGAGACTGTGATCCTGTCACATTCTAGTCTCGGCCGGCCCGTCGCGTGTGCGGTGTTGTGTTCTGGCGTGTGCGGTGTGTACGTGTTCGCACGTTTGACCACGCCCCCGCACGCCTCCGGCGCATGCGAGGCCTGTCGTGACCCGACCAGCGACAACCACCGGTCGGTGGCCGGGCGGTGACCGCCGGCGTGGCGGCCGGTCCGGGCGGTGACCGGTCCGCGCCGGGCGGTGACCGGTCCGCGCCGGGCGGTGGCCGCCGCCCGGACGTGTCGCTCCATCGCCCGCTTTGTTCGCGCGTCAAAAGGTGGCGACTCGGCCCCGGCTGGCACCGAGCGCCCCCGCCCCGCCGCGGCCCGCTCCGCCCGGCCACCCTCCGAGCGCTGGCCGACGGTGTGAACACGTGCACAGGGCGGCGCCGCGGTAACGGTGGAGGGCGCGCTCCGTCCGCGGCTCCGGACGCCCGGCTGGCGGCGCGCTGTGTTCTGCTGTGTTAGCCGGCATACCGAGACCCCTTGCAGAGGAACGGCACCACCTGGCGTGCGCAAAAGCCCGTGAATATTTCCATGTGCTTGGTGGAATGTTGACGACCTCGAAAATACACAGAACTGAAAGGCGCTTGTATGGTGCATGTGCTTTGGGAGAGCAAGTGAAAGATGCAATCTGTCGGAAATGTATCATACGGTAGGCATCCGCGGGTGTTGGATGTGTGGCATCGCCTGTTTGATCAGAATGCTCGTCCTGAAGCCACCCCCTCAACCTTGGAAAGCTCAGGTGGCGGATGCTTCTGCATGACATCACCTGCAACACTGGACGCCGCTGTGGTGCAGACTCTCCCCCTGGCTCAGTAATATTCCTCAGCTGTCGCCGGCGACGCCTCTCAATCTTCAGCCTCGCCACCAGCGGCGGCGTCGGCAGGATGCGTCCGCACCGGGCGTAATAACGTCGTAATTTTACGGCAGCGTTCTCGGCGCTTGCTGGCGCGTTACTTTCTCCGTCGGCGCCGTGACCTCGTGACCTCTGGCAGCGTCACGTAGCTGGTTTCCGGGGTCGGCGCCGCGCCGTGCGGCCTGTTGTTATTGCCCGCGTCCCGTCCGGCTCACCGGCCCACCCGGTTCAAAGACCGCCCGAGTCGCGGGGGCGGCGGGCGGTGGCGCCTGTCCGTGAGACGTCACAGGGCAGCCGGAAGGGGCATGGCGATGGGTGACGTGACGCACCAGCACGCGTCACATGGCACGTCACGGGCGGATTGGTGTCGTCCGCGACGTGACGTGAAGCCGGACGGAGGAGGTCGTCACGCGTGGCCCGTCATGCGGTCAGGCGGGAGTGGACTGATGTCTGTGACTCATCATGAGGGCAGGACTGATGTCGGCCACTCGTAAGGGCCGGCGGGGGTGGACTGATGTCTGTGACTCATCATGAGGGCAGGACTGATGTCGGCCACTCGTAAGGTCAGGCGGGGGTGGACTGATGTCTGTGACTCATCATGAGGGCAGGACTGATGTCGGCCACTCGTAAAGGCCGGCGGGGGTGGACTGATGTCAGTGACCCGTTACAAGTCAGGCGGGGTGGGATAATCTCCGTGACCCGTTAGAATTCAGGCGGGGTTGGGCTGACGTCCGGCACGCGTGATGACATCAGGGAACAGCGGGCTCCCGTTCGTCCGTCGTGTGTGATCAGCCCGGTGGGGTTGTCTGATGGCATATGTCCGCCATCAACCCGCCGGGCTCTCAGGACGGTGGTCCGGCTCTGTTGTGACGGTGACTGGTGCTGTTGTACGTTGTCGTTGTCGTACGTTGGTGACTGGTGCTGCATTGGTGCGTCGTCCCGGCGTTCGCGTCATGCCGGCCGGCGGCACGTGTGTGGAGCGGCACCCGCGTTTCGCACTTCCGCTTGTGGGGTCATAAGTCAATGAGCAGATTAAATCCCAGCTGGCAATGCCTTCCAGGAAAGAGAATATGGTTTCACCTTCACGGAAACACCGTTAGTAGATTTTTAACGCATAGAGAAAACTTTGACTGATTAATAATCCTCCGCATTCCACTAATGCGGCTTTATTACTTCGTTCAGCGCTCTCATTGGGATAACGCGAACCTCATTTGTTTGCGAGGAAATGCGGAGCATTTTCTTGATTCGGGTAGCTTGATTTTTAAGCGTAATTTTTGCTTAACTTTGCCCGACCCCACTCGCGATCATGAGCACGGTTGGAAGCCTCGAGTACTGTCAATATACCCAATGTTTGCGCTAAAAAGGCCATTTAATGAGCACCTCCACCCTCGTATGTGGAAGACGGATAACTCCACATAGGACCTCTGAATTCGTTCTTCAGATATTGAAGCTATTGATGGGAACGCACACAGTATATGTAGCGATAGTCTGTGCGTCAGTATAAATTGCCATAATGCAAACCCCCCGCCACAAAGAGATAAGGAGAATCATGAATTGCGGTAGGTCCGAAGAAGACAGCTGTTCATCTGGCCATAGGAGCTTTAAGATCCTGTATACCAGACAAATCGTTACACTTTTCGGAACCAATGGGAATCAGTTGCATTCAGGATCCCGGACTTGGAGGCAGTGTCATGCACTGGGATCAGGGTCAAGGGCGTGTCCCGTTCTTTTGATCCCGGGGCTGTCGATTGCACGTGCCTATTCCAGTTGTGGTGTCTCGAGGACGACCGCATAGCGCATCGGTCTCATCACCCCGCCAGCCGCCCAGTCACGTTCAGCCAGTGCCCACTGCACAATGCACACTCCCCAAACCTTGAACAGCGGCTTAGACAGATGCCGGCGCCAAATACCCACTGGTAACGGGCTCGGGCTGGATCTTCCCACGCCCGTCGATCAGGACCAGTGTGCCCCCAACGGCGCTGTTCATGGCCGATTAAAGAGGTCGCGGCGAGCCGCAAATTTAGCGCGATTAACTGGCTGTCTCATCAGGCACACGGTAGGGTCAGAGGCGCGCATCGCGAGAGGCGGCTGGCGCATGCTGCAAGCGGATTTGGCTTTGACTTATTTCTGTCGAGGGAACTCAAAATACCTGTTAACATTCAGACACGTTTGACGACTGTGGTGAGTTCGCTGATGAAGTCATCAGTAAAGCCCCACTTGCTGCACAAGACGACGTCAAACACCGAAGAAGCAACACAACTCGTATGTTATGCTGATACACAAATATGTGGTAGAAACGGAGCATACGCCCAGCGCATCGGCACACAACGCTGACAGTTCATGGCGTTTTTGGTTTGGCATGCATGACGTCACATCACACATTTCTTGGCGTTCCGTATGCGGCGGTTGAGCTTCATTGCAACCATCAACGATTCAACATGCCTAACCCTTCCATCTAGCGTAACTACAACAGAAAAGGCAAGCCTGGCCTTCATCGCTTTTTGAGCCTGATACTAACACTCATAACTTTCGTTGGCTTGCCTTCGACCAGTTCAATTATTAAAGTCAGATACGCCGTCATTCATTGCATCGTCGAATGTTCCGCAATTATTGGAGTGATGCCAAACCTTGGAACCATCTTTACCAGGGTTTAGCTCATGGTAATGATAGAAAACGGTCCAAGGCTACGTGATGAATGCACAAAATACACACATCCTAAAGCACCGAATCACTATAGCTGTGTTCGGGGGCCATTATTTCAAGACAGCATCGAAGTTGGTTAAAACTGAGCTATGTCGCAGCCATGCGCGGCGCTGGAGTGCCCGTGCTGAAATACTGAAGAGGGGCGCACGCTGGCTCGCTGGTCCGCCGGACGCCCGAACAGTGTCTGTAGCCGCCTGGTGCGGGCGAGCGGTCCCAGCCGCGTCGCACTCCTCCGGTCCGCCGGCGGGTCGCGCGCGGCCGTCTCGGCTCGCGCGGTCTCGGCCGGACCGCTCGGGGTGTTGACGAAGTGCGTCGCCGCCTTATTTGGATACTGGTCAGCGAGGGCACGCGATTCCCAAGGTCGGCTGTGCTGCGGCCGGGCGCCAGTGACGTCATACCCCACCAGCGACGCCGCTGCTCGGCTGACGCGAGCGGTACCCGCTGACAGGCCGGGGTCACGCGCCCGGCGCCGTTCTGACGTGCCACTTGTCCCCGCCGTTTTCCGTCCTTCGCACATTGACACATGACGCGCTCCGCCACAAAAACGCGCCATCTGCGGCGGTGGCGCGCCTGCTGGCGCCCAAGGTCGTGACCGCAGACCGGCGGTGACGTCACTGACGCAAGAGCGCCTGTAGAGGGTGGGGTCGTGGCAGGCGCTCGTCCGCCGACGCCTGGCGGCCCTCCCGCAGCAGGCGCTCCTCCAGCGCGAAAAAGCAGCACTTGGGCGAGCAGAACATGGCCTGCGCCGCGCAACGGCACTCCAGGCAGTTGTCAGAGGCCACCCCTGCCGAGAGAGGAGGGAGTCAAGACGGGGGACACACTGCGGCACTCCAGGCAGTTGTCAGAGGCCACCCCTGCCGAGAGGGGAGAGAGTCAAGACGGGTACACACTGCAGCACTACAGGCAGTTGTCAGAGGCCACCCCTGCCGAGGGGGAGAGAGTCAATATGGGGACACACTGCGGCACTACAGGCAGTTGTCAGAGGCCACCCCTGCCGAGACGGGAGAGAGTCAAGACGGGGTACACACTACGGCACTACAGGCAGTTTTCAGAGTTCACCCCTGCCGGGGGAGGGCAGAGTCAAGACGGGGGATACACTACGGCATTGTAGGCAGGTGGCAGAGGCCACCCCTGCCGAGAGGGGAAAGAGTCAAGACGGGGGACACACTGCGGCACTCCAGGCAGTTGTCAGAGGCCACCCCTGCCGAGAGGGGAGAGAGTCAAGACGGGGACACACTGCAGCACTATAGGCAGTTGTCAGAGGCCACCCCTGCCGAGAGGGGAGAGAGTCAAGTCGGGGACACATTACGGCACTATAGGCAGTTGTCAGAGGCCATCCCTGCCGAGAGAAGAAGAAGTCAAGACGGGGGACACACTGCGGCACTATGGGCAGCTGTCAGGGGCCACCCCCGCCGCGAGAGACAGAGTCAAGACTGGGGACATACTACGGCACTCCAGGAATTTCTGCTGACCACTCTTGCCGAGGGATACACCGCCTTGACCACTCTTGCCGAGAGCAGGATGAAGGCAATGTACATACCTAGACCGCTCATGTGGAAGAAGGACGTAGACTGCACAGACCAGAGATCTATCTTGAATCCTAATGCTACGCCCAGGAGCCACTGGCTCTCGCCATTAGCCGTTGCCCGGGGAACGGACGAAACACCGCATCATGGGGTTGTGCCGACGCAATGGCTTGTGACATTCTCTGCAGCCATGCAATGGTTTGTGAAATACTCGCATGGCACGCTTGAGCGGTAAAAATAATAGCGCCGCGCTGATACGGCAGACGAAACATCAGTTAAGCAACTTCTTGAAATGACGACCACAACGCTAAAACACAATGGTGCATTTCTCATGCCGTAGGCCAGCATGGGTTGTGTCAATCGCACCCGCGCCCAAAATGCATGATAATTGTCTGTGGTGATCCGTCATTGAGTTGTTGGAGGCAAACCAGGTCTCTAAGCGTCGTTATGGCCTGTCCGGGTATGACGTCATCAGTCATCCGTCTCAATTGATTTCGTTCTGTCTAATCGGTAAATTGGCCTGTACTGTGATCCGTCCTTAGCATCACACCATCCGTCATCTAACGTAGCTCGATCTCCTGGCGGACTGGCGCCGTCCAGGTATGACGTCATCCGTCAACTGATCGCAACCGCAACCGCCGGCCGGTGCCGTGATCCGTCTGGGGTATGACGTCACGCGCCACCCGTGAGGTGTGGTCCGTCTGAGTAAGGTCCGAGCGTGTCACCGCCAGGCGCCCGCGGAGGTCGCCGGCGGCGAACCACAGCCGGCCACCGGAGCCGGTGGTTCCTAGCTGCAAGGGATGACTCGGCGGTGTGGAATGCCGTGACATGAGGTCGTGTTGTGTCAGCGGACCGCGCTGACATGCACTCGCACCCGGCTGACATGCACTCGCTCACAACCGTTTGCTGTAGCGCTTGATTGAATTTATCTGAATGTGCTGTGTTGTATCATCAGCGGCTACAGCAGTATTTTAATGGATGTTGAGAGATGTGCTAGGCGGTTGCATAGCCATCTTTAAAGATGGTCATCAAGTAAGAAAAAGGAGGCTAAAATGAATCGTAAAAATAATAGCCAGCAACAATTGCTATTCTAGCTCTATCTGGAATAGCTAGCTGAGCTTGGTTTTCTGTAGAGCCTAACTCCGTCGGGAAGCCGCAGGAAAAACCAGTGAAGTTATGAGGTACAGAGTGATTTCATGCTTAGTGCGCTTGTCATGCAGTATGTCCTTCGGACAGCTGTAGGCGCTTTTAAGTAGACACCGGCAGCCTGCTTACTATTTCCAACCGTGAACATTTTTCAGATTTACCCCAGAATTTCGTGATGTCCTGATTACCCGAGGTCCTGGTATTAGGTCACTTTTTGCAGATGGAAAGGGATTGCATGTTATCCGTCCAACAAGATCCGTTAATGTCGAAGCTGAACGCAATGAAATCCGGCCTAACTCCATCTACTGCAGAAAACCCCTCTAACTAATCCGCTGAGCGTTGTTCGGCAGGCCCACCGCACGGGAATAGGAACAGACTAGCGCTGTCTTCGGCTTGAATCCAAACAACCATTTTTGGTACAATTTTTAGCCGACTGAATGGAATTGAGTGCCAAGTAAATTTCCGAACGCGTGGGACTGTCCCGGTATCATGTGACGGCGCACGGTGTCAATTTAGGGATTCAGTTCACAATGCTATCGACGATATACTGCATTGCACGAGGGACTCGCATATACGAGCCTCATAAACATATGCCAGTGTTTTGCTATTTTTACGTTTCTACTTCGGGAGCGCTTAGATGCGCTTGCCCCCTGAAAGGAAGCTTGGCCTTCTCTGACCCCACCACCCACCACCTGGCATTCCGCCGGTCGCCAGCAGAGTCGCTAGACCCCGCCCCTGCTGCCAGCGTCCGGCGGCCGGCCCAAACCCGCGCACAATGGTCTGTTTACAGCGCGGGGCGCGGCTGGTCCGCGCGTGGGCCGCGGCCGGCGTCAGGCTCGGGCCGGGCCGCTCCGCGCCGCGATCTCAGCTGATTGCCCGGGCGGAGGCGCCATCAAGGTTGCGCCCACGCGCCGGCCGGCCGTGCGCAGGGCAGCCGTCCTCCACCCACTCTTCAGCGCGGCGGAGCTCCGGCCGATGGCCAGCTGACTTCTGCTCCATGTGGATGGCGGGGGTCAGAAGACAAGGGGCAGCGTGAGCCCCACCCACCTGTGGATGGTAGTGCTCGCACCCCGGCCGAGGGTCTGGGAACTGGACTATCAACTACGACGACTGAACAATGGCTATGCAGCTGCACAGCTGGCCGCTAACCCCTGCACTATGACTCCGATGAATGGTGCGATCTCCACCGTGCCCTCCCCCGCCCCCGCTCTCCCCCCCCCCCCCCCCCCCCGAGGAGACCTGCCCGGCCGAGTCAACGGCGGTCACCAACCCCGCGCTGTGCTGCTCTGAGCCAAGGTGTCGGCCGACGGCAGACTCCTCCTCGCGCCCGTGCGGGCTCCTCCGCCGCCCCGGGGAGCGAGCCCCGGCAGCCGGTCCGGATCCATGACAGAGCGGAGGGGTCATTCCTCCGAGAAGTGGCCGCTGGCTGCCGGGAATGCAGCATGCGCCGTATATGGGCGTATCAAAGCGGTGATCGGACGGCCCGCCCAACTCTGCAGGGCTAGTTTGGACTGGAGCCGCGGCCGGGGGCGGGCTGCGAGGGTTCAGTGCCGGGTGCCGGCGGCGGCGTTCAGCACTGCCGCCGCCAACCGGCACGCAAGCGCCTGGGTACTGCTCCTTCGATCGGCGCCATAGAATAATGCGGCGCCCTTGGCGCCAGCCGAGGGCACTAGCTCTGGCGATGCGTCTTTTTAGGTCTGGGAAAGCAATGCGAGACCAAAAATAGGCACTGTTTCGTCACAAGTGCTTACCGTGAGGCACAGTTTTGGCCCAGAAACGATGTCGGCAATTGACCTCGGCCACCTCTCGCACCGTCGTACGCTCCCAGCCCTCATCTGACCCGACCTGTCCGATCGCTTCAAACGATTGGTACACACGGCTGCGCTGCTCCCACCGCATTGCGCCGCAAATTCCGCGCATTGCGTCAGGGCCCGCCGCCACCCGCGGACGCCAAAGCAGCGGGAGCTGTTTCCGGCGCATGCCCGTGACACGGCCGACGGCCGGGCCGCCCGCCCGCTGCGGGCGGGCCGATGTCGGCACCGCCGCCCGCCCGCCGTGGCCGTGTGCGCGCCGTGCACGGCTCCGCGGTGGGGCTGGCCGCGAGGGCGTGGCGGACAATGGGAGTCCGCGGCGTGGGCGTCGGCGACTTGACCACGGCGGCGCCGCGGGGGGTCGTCTGACCTCGGCCGACCGGGGCGGGGCCGACCCGACGCGGGACCCAGCCGCCGGCGGTGTCGGCAAGGGGAGGGTGAGGGAGCGCTTCGCTCCCTAGCTCTGGGAGTGCCCCCGGTACCACAGCGCAGGCCGCGTAACCCGAGCACCCGACCTTGACACCGCCGACCGCGACCGACTCCGACGCCGGTCGAGCTGCGGGCAGACCGCGACGCAGACAGATCGGCGCTGATCTGGGTCACCTACTTAACCCCGTACGGCTCGTCCACGAGCAGTCAGCGGGAACAGCAATCGCCACTGGAGTGAATGGGGGCGCTGTTGCCCACAGCGCACTATCTGTAGTTCCTATCGCGCTGGACAGCTCCATTTATCACGGTTGAGCTCAATGGCCGATTTATTTTCGCCCATTCGTGCTGGACACGATCTCTCGTTGTGCGCATGGCATGGCGTCACGACGTCGGAGTGGTTCCATGAATAGATCTATGACGTCACAGTCATCTGCGATCTGTTCACGGAGGTCCATATCAAATCGATTGGCCGATGCATATTCAAAACGGCGTTCAGGGCTACCGATTCAGGCGAGCGCTGACCTTGCCAGCCGTCCAGCGGCCGTCCCAGCGACGCCTGAATAGGACGGTCAGGGTATCTCCCGAAACGGAGGTGCCCCGACCTACTTGGCGTGACGCGCAGCACGCGCGGCGGCCTTGGAGCGTGTCGCGACCGCCTCCGCGTGCCATTTACACCCTCAGCATGGTGCGTCATCAGCGAGCTGCCGGTCCCTCCCAATGACGCATTAAAACCCAACGAAGCTGGCCCCCGCCGCCAGCCGGCGCCTCTGACTGTCGTTTGAAGACGGGTCACTGTGGGGCGCGTGCTTCTGGACTGCTGATCGGCGTCGCCGTGTGCGCGGGACATCGGGTGGTGGAGGGAAGGCGCCTGCTGATGATGGGACCGCATACCGTCGTCTCATGAACGCCGCAGAGAAGTGTGGCAACACGACCGGCAGTCTACGTCGAGAGTGATGTGCCTCAGGGCAACTTGTACGCTCTGATTCATGCTCCATGAGGCTTTCCTCATCGCTAAAGAACAAAGGACGTCGGTTACTGCAATGCCAGGATCGGTTTGTTGATTGGTCGGGCTATACTTTTCAAAATCATGCTTGCATGCATTGTTCATGATTCATTGGTATTTCCTAACAAAGAAAAAACAATAAGACAAACGAGGCAGCCAATTCGCGAACAATTTGCTAGGGACTCAGCATTTCCAACAAAAAGGGTGCCGAAATGCCCTTCCGGTGTGTGGAGCAGCATGACGGAACGCACAGCCTGTTTTAGGTTCCGTCCTTTCTGTGAGAGTCCAAGTCCTGTGACAGCGCCAGCCACACCGGCTTCCGGGATTTCACAACTTGAACCTGTTCCTATATCGCGTACGATGTCCTAAGGAACCGTATCGCCGTATCTCTCTCTTGTCCTGTCACCGAGCAGGCTGGACTCAGGACCCGGCCGGCCGGCGCCCGACCGGTCCACATCGGCAGGTCACGGGACCGCGGACCGTCTCCTGCAGCAGTCTGGAGCGAACCTCTCCGCTCTCCGCGGCGCACGGCTGGCTATGCTGGACGCCTCGCTCGGCCCGATGCGCCGGCCTGAAGCGGCCAGTCCCGCCCATGCATAATGCACCGCACGCGGCCGGGCCGCCGCCACAGATGGCACCGCGTCGGGGCGCCGATGTGGCGTAACAGCGACGGCGCGCCGCCGGCAACGGCATACTCAGCGCTTGCCGGTGTTCCCACACAACGCCGGAGCGCGTGACGCCCAGCTTCAGCCGACTTTCGTTGGACGGACGCCTTAATTACAGCCGGCCTGGACTGAGGCGGGGTCAAGTTGGAGCGCAGGGTCACGCCAGGTCGAGCCCGGCGTCCGTGGCACGCCCGGGCGGCAGGTGGGATCGGACGAGCGAGCTGACACCTCGCGGAGCTCCGCTGAGAGCTTAGCATATCTTCACGACAGTTAGTGGCTGTGGCAGGCGTGATGGTGTGCTTGATAACTCCTCTGACTGGTAAGGCCCTTCAAATTGGAGTATTTGTATCGACAGCTCACCTGACCACTGTGGTCATCAACAAAATCCAGCTTACTGGTTGATGCGATGGGGCCAGAAAAAAATTGGAGCAACAGGCTGACCAGTGACGCTGTCTGCTATCGCTTTACAACTGACAGAAGATGGTGAAGAGGCCCGTACTATCTCGTCTTCTTCACTACGGACACGATTTCTCAACAGCTATCCAAGGTTGTAAAAACAGCCAGACCAGATTTCTCGTGAACAGTTATTGGGTCGAGACGACGTTGGCTTTCCCTAAGGTTAGGAAATCTAACACCCTAAGCCGTGCGAGCTAGAGAGCTTGAGAAGTCGCCGCGGTGGATCAAAAGAACAAAACATCCTCTTGACGCAGGAGCGTAGTTTTGCAACACACGTTGTGAGGTTTATCAGTGATGAATCGAACTTGTCCCCAAAATATACTAGGAAACAGGTTTTTTCCGAGTTCGGCTAAAGTTCTTCTCAAAGTTGGGGGGAGGGGAGAGGCGACTGGAGCACCCAACTCAAGAGGAAATTGCACCCTGCACTAATGCATTGGTGGTCCTATACCACTAACTGCGGAATGCCCTATCCGTCAGTTTCGTCACATGCAGAGAGATGAGGGTGATAATCTCAACTTCCGCGGAATTTTGCAAATAGCATACTCATATAGTTTCCAAAAAAGCATCCTTGTTTGATCGAGCATGATGAAAGGTTTTCCAATTAATTTTTCCTGGAAAGGGCAGATCTCATATTGCCGACCACATTTTGCAGTAATGCTCTGCAGAACTGTCACAGCCTAAAACGAAACTTCCTGCAAGTTGCAGCAAAAATCGCGTAACGATCAGCTCAAGTGCCTAATAAGCCTAACGTCTCCCAGCCTTGCCCCGTATCGGGGTTGATGGTCTCACCTTTAACACGCTGACTGGTAACTGAACGGCATCATCACCGACGGCTGGTGACCTACCCCATTACCGCGGGGGGCTAGTGACCTGCCCCACCTGCAGGGGGGGGGGGCATCTGCGATTCAGTCGGTATGTTTGCTCGAAACGTAGTTGTTATGGCCGTTAGGAACGTAACATCTCACGCCTTGTTAGATTAGGGGCATTGGAATCAACTACAGTCGACGATTCGACCAAAAACTTTCAGTAACGGAACAAAGACTCTCTTTAATACCCTCCTCGCCATTGCCACCTGCCGGTTGTCTGCACTGCACCACCGCCTCAGCGTTCGGAGTGCGTTTATACCACTTTTGGTCAGCTTTGTCTTTCAATGCACCGCCCGCGCCTTTACCAACCACATGAGGCGTCTAATGAGCCCATTGGTCTTGCCCACACGCCTAGCTGCACGTCACGGAAATCAGCGCTCAGGAACGGCTCAATCGACGCTACCACGCACAGGATGTTTACGGCCTGGCAGCGCGTGCTACGACTTACAGCTGCAAGCCTGGTGTGCCGGCTGGGGCCACGTCGGAGTGCCCACCGTCCGTCGGGCATTCGCCCCGGTCGACTGTTCCCACGAACATAACCTGATTGCCTGTGGTGAAACACCCCGGCAGACACTCGGCATTAGTGCCGGCGCAATGAAAAGCGTGATCGATTGTCACGCCGCTCCAGAAAGCCAGCGCGCTCCAGCGGGCCGACCGCCGGCCACTGTCGCTTTCGTCCATTCTGCCCCGCGGGCCGAGTTTGTGACACCCGTCCGTAACCGCACGCCGCCCCAGCGCCGCCAGCTGTTGGACCGGCCGTCAGCTGAGCAGAAGCCCAGCTGACCGCGGCCCCGTCACGCCGCTGGCGAGCGACCGACCGCCCGCGCAGATACGCCGCGAGGCACGGCCCCACCCTCGCGTCGGCCACCGCGACAGGCACCCTGGCCGGCGCCGGCGGCCGCGGGCCGTGGCGCAACGGAGACGGTGGCGGCGCGCGCGTGCGTGCGCGCGCGTCTCTGCACGGCGTCGCGTCGTGGGCCGGCTGACCCGCTTCTCAAGGTCACGCACCGGGGCCCGGGGCCTCCCTCATTAGGTACGCGGGGCGGGGAGTGAGAGGAGCGAGCATGGAGATTGGGGCCGCTGTGGATAAGAACTGAAGGCAGCGGAGGGATGATAACTGGGCGGAGTCAAATGGCGACGTAATGAGCAAATGAAGGTGAGATAAGACCAGACACGCATGAGTAATTAGGGTACGTTACACGCTACCGACTCTTGAATCAAGGTGCGTGATAATGCGCATGCTGTTTGCCTACATTATGCTCAGCTAATCTGCTGAATACGACTGCTAACAAGTTGTGCTTGTTGACGCAGGAATCCAGAACACAAAGACCCGTGCAGTGTGGGCGTGACGAAGCATGACAAGCGACAAAGCCCGAGCCCTCGTAAAAAGGAGCTGACTCTCAGAACAAACAGCAATGGCCAGACCAAGCCGTCCAGCGAGGATCGGACCACGGACTCCGCGGCGGCTGCGACCCTCCGGTGTACTCACCGATCACTTCTCCCAGCTCGTAGCGCACACCCATGATGGAGCACGTCTTGGCGTGCTGCTCGACGGCGTGCTCGTGTTCGTGCTCGTGCTCGTGGTGGTGGTCGTGCACGTGGTTCTCATCGCCCGGCAACAGAGAGCGCCGTCGCCGGCGCGAGCTCCACTCGGCCTCCAGCCGACGCACCGCTGCCGCGTCGAACACATCGTCGACGTCGGCGGCGCGCCGCAGTCGCCGGCCGAACTCGGGGAACATGAAGTCGGAAAGGTCGATGTCCTCCTCCAGGTCGTAGTCGAAGTTCATCAGGGGCTGCATCGCGTGGCTGACGGCGGGCGCCACCCGCGTCTTGATCGGAGTCGGCCGGGCCTGCGGGGCGGTCGGCCGGGCCTGCGGGGCGGTCGGCCGGGCCGGCCGGACGGTCGGCCGAGTCGGCCGGGTCGGCCGGGCGGTCGGCGGCCGGGACGGGGGTGGCGGAGTGCTCGGCGCGGCGGACAGCCGGCGGGAGCCTCGCCGCCGTCCGCTGCGTGTTCTCGACGCCGCACGGGCCGGCGCGCCAGCTCCGGCGGGGGCCACGCTCGGGACCGCATCGGGGACCGGCGCCGGCTTCGGAGAGCTGAAACGGAAGGCGCCACGCCCGCGGGCGGGCTGCGGGACGAGACCGGCCGGCTGCGGCAGCTCGCCACCGCGACCGGTCGGCATGACGAAGTTACGCGGCACCGAAAGCTCCTCGTTGAAGTAGGTGGCACCGGAGGGCGCACTGACGGCGTCGGCCGGGCCGGGCGCCGACGGCTGCTCACCCAGCGGCGGCTGGAAGCTGTCGGAGGGAACCACCAGCGGCAGCACGCGTGGCCGCGGTACGATCTTCATCGTGCGCACCGGCGAGCGGGCTCGTGAGACCAGCTGGGAGCGGGCGCCGGTAGCGCTCTGGGACCGCTCCGGACGAGGGGTCGGCGCCGCTGACTTGAGCTGGGGTCGGCGGCGCCGGCTCGGGGACGGCACAGCCTTGGTCGTGGAGCTCGGAGCGGACGCGCTGTCAGGTGACTTGGTCCGTGACCTGACCCGTGACCTGGTCCGTGACCGGGTGGCGGTTGGTGCCCGCGAGCTAGCCGGAGGCGGTGTGACCTCCGGCCGGCGCCGCCGGGTCGGAGTCAGAATGCTCGGCTCGGCTTGAATCGGAGCGTCCGCGATGCTATCGGGAATAGCTGGAAAACGGAAGTTGCGTGAGGCTATGGTGAGAATGAGTTGCCTCCGGTGGCGCATGTGTCATTGCTTTCTATTTATTTGGTGGAAGCCTTGGAATGTTTTTTTTTTGTTGAGAGCAGCAGTGAATTATAAACACTGTTTTGAGAATTTGCGTTCCACGCCTTTTTATCGGAGACTGGCTCTCTGCCGCCTTTTTGTGACAATCACGTCGATTCTTAACGGAAGCATTGCGTGACAGTGTCAAGGCGTAAGTAAAACCTAAAAACCAGTGTTTGTCAAGCACTTCCGTTCTTCGCTCAATCATCATATTGTTGACTGAAGTGAACACCGTACGGTGCTGTCAACCCGAAAAATGCGTTCTGTTTCGTCTCAAGCTTTTACGGAACGATGAGCTCGTGAGAAAACAGCCTGCGCCACCACACACAAACAGACAATTAGGGAGCAGCCTCAGCAGCGGCTGAAGATCTCCATGCAGAAGTAATTCTTAGGCAGCGCTTGTATTGGGAAACCTTGAGTACGGATAACAGATGTTATGCGATAACTCAGGGACTTCCGCACAGCGTGAGCCGGATCTCGCAAAGCATTGATGTAATTTCGGTGATCCGCGTTCACGGAATACCTTTCTGAAGCTCACCTCTTGACTTTCCACCTTTCCGGTCGCATATTTGTGCTGCGCGACGCCGTGTTCAGCCACCACCGGCAGAATGGACTCGCCCAAGCGTAACGGTAACAGCGTCGGCAAAAGAGAGCAAAAGACGCATGCGGAGGCGAGTGCCATACCAGGGGACCGCTACACACAAGGCCTCAGTCACCTGCTGTGACTTGTAGAGGAGGCCAGTGCGTGCATTCGAGTCACGGTTTCCATGAAATCGTGCCAGGAGCTAACGGATGGCAAACAACGATATGATTGTGGCTGTGCGATTTGTCGCCGTGTTTCCTGCGCGATAAAAGCGTCGGAGGTTTTTGCTGGCGGCACGGCCGCTGGTCAGGGTCTACACGATCCACCTAGTAATGTGTCCTTGTCTGGAGACTTTGCATCATGAAGCTCGCGAGTGCATACAGATTGGAAGTATTAGAGGCTCGGAGGCGATTTTTCTTTTCTTATATAGACTTGTTTTGCACGTCATGTAATTGAAGTCAAGCTCACCAACGGCTAGCTGCCTACGTTTAATATACCTAACGACCATAAATCGCGATTGCTAATTTTGACAGCGACGTCATTGGAAATGACAAGCTAAACACAGGCAATTCGGCAACTGTTTAATGCCTGGATGACATCACATAATCAATCTGCGATCAAACTGCAGAATAAAACTGGCCTCAGCGCGGTGTTTGTGATTAATGGCTCAACTTCGACCTCACCCCTCCTGCCATGCTCGCGTGTGCCGAACCATTACACAACACATGCCAAGAGCGATGAGTAACGCTTAAGACACGGCCCGTCGCTCGGCTGGGTGGCCTTCCTGAGCGCAGATGCACTGCGATCCTGGAGCTGTTATCGGCAGCCAGCACCCTGTCTGGGACGGCAGCCATTCCTTCACATCGGCGGGTTTTATGTGCCATTATCGCTCGTTCATCTGGCAGCACTTGAAGGTTCCCAGTCACTCGTTTTAACCACTGCATCAGTGCGTCGGTGGAAAAATAAAGTGATTCTTTGTCATCAGTGTTCCGCGATAGTTGTCAATTTTTGCCGTGCGGTCCTATCTGAAGTAGAAATCTCAGTCCTCAGCATTGTTACATTCAGTTGCTTGACCTTCTAACGGGGGTCGTTCAGTGGAATTGCTAAGCTATTTTTAGATGCAGGGTGACATCTGTGAATGGCAGAGCTATGCCGATGGCACAGTGTCTGTCTGTAGATATACAGGCAAACCGAGTTATAATCGTGATGAGATTAGACTGAGACACAGGTTTCACATAATTCAAATGCATTTTTCACCTTCATTCCTTAAGTTCAGGGTTTTATGACAAAGGAAGACCACAGGTGCAGGTCAGACTCAAACCGAGATGTCAGGCGCTGGGGCAGAACTGCCGGCCACAGAACTCACTCTGTCCGGCAAGGTGTCCACGTACAGGATTAGGCAAGCAACCTATCCCCGATCATCTGTAAAGACGAGCACATCAGCCGCAGTCCTGTCCAACCGCCGCAGCAGACCACTTACGGCACACGTAGAGTGAGGGGTTGCAGCGATCTTCGAGCTGCATTATCTCGCACAGCTCAGGCGGCGGGCCGCAGCTTTTCCAGAAGCACTCGATGCGGCCGCGGTGGCAGTGGCAGACGTGGCAGGGGTCCTGCTGTCGCACCAGACTGCCCTCGGCTATCTCCCGGCCGTTCTCCACACATCCACCCGCCAGCTTGTCTGCGAACACCGCAGGCGAATGTCAGCCAAAGGCACGTGACACGTGCTGACGACATCACGTTTGACGACAGTGAAACCCTGGAGACGGCCACGAGGTGGAACGTTCCTGCATTATTTTCGCGAGGTTTTTTGCGGTCGTCGTCTTTGGGCATTGAGGTAACTGTTCTACTGCGCTTAAACACTGACGTTGCAAGGGATAAAGAACCGGAACAGGATTCTATCGAAGCTTTAAACGCTTACGACACGGACCCCTAGCTGACATGAAAATATGTTAACGAACGGCTATGTCTCCTGGGTGGCAACAATTAGCAGTTTCAAAGCAACCGAGAAGGCAGCAGCACTCAACACATGCAGCTACGTCGCAGTGCGACATACCGGCAACCTTTATAAGATAGACCCGCTTGCAGAGAGCTGGGTCCGTGCCCAATTTTCGCATGCTGAGACGGCCGTTGGCTCTCTTCAGTCTACCGTCCCTTGAGATGTCTAACATTTTCGCGTTCAGTTCATTGACCATTGTAGGCTCTGCCAGCTTACGTTGTTACTATGGCATCTAGGAAAACCGATGGTACTTTTCTGACAGACGTGGGGAGACCCAGGGGACGCCGCTAGCATTCGGCACTAGTGCTTTCAACCTGGAGACTTTAGCGACGCACAAAAGCATATCTTAATAACTGCGACGCAGCGTAGTGCACTAGCCTCCGCCAGAGCGCTGCAGATGTGGCTGAACAACCAGCAGGAGCAGAATGTTCCGAGAAGTTTATGCGACAAAGGTGCCGGGGCACGTGTGCTGTAATGGACAGTGTGAAGAATGCGCTGATTACAGCTGCACAGCATGACTGTTCCCACACTTGGCACGCTTGCTTCCATCCAGAAATAGTTTCAGAAACATGTTTCGTTACGGTAAAGAGACAACATTATAGGAAAGACAATGCACGCAAAGTAGTGCGAGTGAATGAAGTGAATGATAGAAAACGGGACATATAGACAAATAATCAAACTTTTGCACAGTTAACAATCCCTTTGAGTGAAAACCACCGCCAAGAAGATAAGATTCTGTTCATTTCAGATCAGTCCATACACCAGTCTGTCTTGCCCACCCACCCGAATATGTGGGAGGCTCTAGCTGACTACTTGGCTTCAGTGATCTTAATAAGCCCGATAGAAGTATGGCGCAACATGAATTGCATACACGTTATGGAACATTGTACACCGTCTCCATGATCATTTATTAGTGTAGTACTAGTTTGCGCTGTAAATGTTGATTGAGAAGCATGTGGATGGAACGCTTATGGAGGTAATGAATCCTATTCATGTGGTTTGCACGCTAATGATCACGGCAAACTTGTTCATTAGATCCAGCAGAGCACGTCAAATCCGTCGAGGAGTCTCGATGACATTCAGGGCCTCATAGCATCTTATGGCTCTCACATCTCGCAAACCGAGGTGGCTTCAACGTGCTAACATGACGGAGGAAGCGTTTCTAGCAAACGCGTAATGCATCTCTGTAGCATTGTTTTAACATCTACGCTGACGTCACGTCACGTCACATCCAGACGTTAATGACGAGAATTTCCGGGCTATATGGAATGCCATCTGCATCAGTCATGCCATTCAGCGTGCTTGCAGCATGCTCTAAATTGACAAATGGTCATTCCCTATCCTTATTTCTCTCATTTCATGCTGCAGAGCCCACCAGACCGATTGACCTGACCTGACCTGACTCACACCGCTCGACTCACCTTGCGCGGAGAGTGCCGCCGCGGACAGCAGGAGCGCCAGCTGCACGAG